TGTTAAATTTTTTCCCACACAAATTAGTGCACAAGAACCTGAAACTTTGAGAGCAGGTTCACAGGCCGTTCGCACAGCCCAGCTGGAAAATTAGCTTTGGGATTAAATGGAAGTTCCAACGTTAATTATCTTCCGGTGTGGCGAGCCTAATTAACCACAAACATCCAATTAATTAATCAATCAAGCGCTCGTGATTTCCTCGGCTACCCAGTGAATACTTGTCTTGTTAATTAATTTATAAAACCGCACGTGTATTTAGTTTCTGTATCTCCAATCTGCTCACGTCACACCAATTATAACGAGGGTGCCAATTTTATGTTTAAAAAATTAACTCGTAAAAACAAAGTTTTTCACTATAAATCCTTTATATGCGTGGCATCGGTTTTATTTTATTATTCATTTCTGTTTTTCATGAGTAAGAGTTTCATTTTTATCACATTGCTTTTTAAAATTAAATATGACATTTTTTTTTCCCTAAAAAGTGGAAAATTTTGGGAAAAAAATTTCACGAAAATAAATTGTCACGCACAACGAGTCTGTGTGCAAAATGTCAGCTCGATTGGATCACGGGAAGTGGGTTAAAAAACGACCGAAAGATTTGCACGGTCCTAAGCGCGCAAGCAAGCGAACTTAATATAAAGGATTTAAAAAGCAATCACAGATGACGTTACCCAGAGTTAAATGAGCAAAAGGCAAACATCTATGAATCATCGTGGCCAGTCGAGCTTGCCACTCACTCTTAGCTAAATAAATGACAATCTCCAACGATACTAAGAGGTTCATCTTCTTGGTTCTTTCGGTAAAGTCACGTAGAAGGGAAGTAATAAAATAATAAAAATAAAACAAAATAATATAATTATTTTATTTTGTTTTATTTTTATTATTATGAATGAGCACGTTGCTTAATAAAATAATAAAAATAAAACAAAATAATATAATTATTTTATTTTGTTTTATTTTTATTATTTTATTACTTCCCTTCTACGTGACTTTACCGAAAGAACCAAGAAGATGAATCCCTGCAGTCACGAAAGCTTTAAATCGAGATATTAAGAGGTCTTTAACATTCCTATTCAATCTCGGATTGTCTTGATAATTGGTTTTTTACCCTTCTATCTGGCAACAAAACTGACACCTTTTTACAAGGAGTCATGTTTGCATAGACCACAATACCTGCGGTCGTAATACAAACAAAAAACACAACTCTGATAATGTATGCACTATATATTCTTAGGTTTTTTCGGAAAAGTCACGTAGGTAAAACATCAAAATTAATAAAAATAAAATATTTTATTTTAAAAATAAAATATTTTATTTTATTTTTTATTAATTTTGATGTTTTACCTACGTGACTTTACCGAAAAAACCTAAGAATATGAATCCTTGCAGTCACGAAAGCTTCAAATCTAGAATTAATGTATGCACTGTCCTTAAATTAAACACAATTGCATTTTTTAAAAATTTAAATAAAACCCGAGTCAACTCACGTCACACACGCAATTTGTAATTGAATGAGCACGTTGCTTAATTAATTGGCCTCAGGTCAACACCTCAGGGTCATTAACAGCTGACCTAATTAACATCTTAATTGGCCCGCTACTAATTAACAGCTGACCTCATCAACGACTCAATTTGGCGGGATTATTTCAACGAGAGATTATTAAATATCGTAGTGAACGCGTTGAACTTTAACAAGCACGGGTTGATCATCATCATTATTGTTATTATTCTATTACTGCGCATGCACTTTTATTTGTCGAGATTTTTTGTTTATTAATCTTGGAGCTTACTCATAACTCACCCTCACCACTCACCCTCACCACTCACCCTCACCACTAACCACTCTCTCACAACTCTCTCATCACTCACCCTCACCACTCACCCTCACCACTAACCACTCTCTCACCACTAACCCTCACCGCTCACCACTCACCCTCACCACTAACCACTCTCTCACCACTAACACTCACCCTCACCACTCACCCTCACCACTAACCACTCTCTCACCACTAACCCTCACCGCTCACCACTCACCCTCACCACTAACCACTCTCTCACCACTAACACTCACCCTCACCACTCACCCTCACCACTAACCACTCTCTCACCACTAACACTCACCACTCACCACCCACCCTCACAACAACCGCTCACCACTCACCCTCACCACCCACCCTCACCCCTCACTCTCACCACTCACCCTCACAACAACCGCTCACCCTCACCACTCACCCTCACCACCCACCCTCACAACAACCGCTCACCCCTCACCCTCACCACTCCAATCGTCGCAGGCGTGTACGGACGCACTTATTCCTTTAAAAGAAGAGTGGTGCTGGTGGAGGGAGGTAGGGGGGGACTACCCACTAACCTGCAGATACTTTCCTCGCAACTTCACGGCAGTCGGGCTCGCAATGCACACAACAGGTTGCTGCTGTCGGCAGGCAACGCAGCAGCAGCTGCTACAGCGTCTCGGCCTCGACTTGTGTAGCCCCTCCCCCTCTCGCTCTCGAGTCACATGACGTCATCCGTCCCTACGCGGACGCGCTCATTGGCTACAGGATGCGCGTGCGTGACGTCATCACCCAGTGGGGAGTTCGCCGATTGGCTTACGTGGCAATGGAGGGGTGGGGGGGGGTTTGTTGTGCTGTGACGTCACCTCACACCGGACGCGCTTTGAGCCCCCGCCCCCAGCAACGGCGGACCAATCGGAAGAGCGGAAAATTCTCGAGGGGGCGTGGCCCCCGCGGAGGAGGACCAATGAGACGCGCGTATCGGCGGCGTGCACCAGAGACCCAACGACTACAATGTTATCTCAATAGGAATCGATCCGAGTTTATAATTTGACCTTGAATCGATTTTCTCTGCACGTGACTTCAGCTCGGAGGTCGCGTGGTGTGAGTGGGGAGTGGTGGTGCAGTGGTTAGCGCACCGTGTGTGTGTGGGGAGTGGTGGTGCAGTGGTTAGCACACTGTGTGGTGGTGGTGGTTGTGGTGGTGGTTGTGGTGGTTGTAGTGGTGGTTGTTGTGGTGGTGGTTGTTGTGGTGGTGGTAGTGGTGGTGGTAGTGGTGGTTATAGTGGTGGTTGTGGTGGTGGTTGTTGTGGTCAGGGTCGGGATCGAACCCACGACCTCCTGTAGACCAGGCGAGGTGGTCAACATCTCATAGCCACACGGAGCCAACGGAACGGATAATGTAATCGATGATAATCGATCATCAGAGAGAGGGAGACACGCAAAACGATGATTATAATCGATGGGAATCGATTAGCAGAGAGAGACGCGCAAACCAACGATTAGAATCGATGAGAATCGAACAAACGATTCTCGGTGACGTCATAATCCGGAGACCATTGCCAAGTTCAAGATGGCGGCACCCAGGTTGGAGGTTGTTGTTGTGGTGGTGGTGGTTGTTGTTGTGGTGGTTGTTGTGGTTGTTGTAGTGGTGGTGGTGGTTGTTGTGGTGGTGGTTGTTGTGGTGGTTGTAGTGGTGGTGGTGGTTGTTGTGGTGGTGGTTGTTGTGGTTGTTTGGTGGTTGTTGTGGTGGTTGTTTGTGTGGTGGTTGTTGTTGTGGTGCTGGTTGTTTGTGTGGTGGTTGTTGTTGTTGTTTGTGTGGTGGTGGTTGTTGTGGTGATGGTTGTTTGTGTGGTGGTGGTTGTTGTGGTGGTTGTTGTGGTGGTTGTTTGTGTGGTGGTGGTTGTTGTTGTGGTGGTTGTTATTTGTGTGGTGGTGGTTGTTGTGGTGGTTGTTGGGTTTAACGAGGCTGCATTGTGTGAGGAGCTCACAAATCCTTGAAAGATCTGGGCAAAGTCCCTTTGGTGAGCTCCTCCGGCAGGCAAGGCTGCGTTGGCTGGGTCATGTAGCCCGCATGCCCAGCCACCGCATGCCTTAACAGATTTTGTTCGGCCGGATCGAGGGGGCTAGACGGGCGCGGCACGGGCTGGAGAAGAGATGGAGTGATGTGGTACAGGAGGACGTGGAGCTGAGTGGACTTGCCGATGACTGGTACCAGCGGTGTCAAGATCGGCCTCGGTGGAGGAGGCTCGTGAAGGACGCTACTGGGCAGTTGGAGGCAGTCGCCCTCCAACAACAACGGAGGGCGGAGGAGCGACGCTCACAACAACGAGCGGAGCGCCGGGTGGCTAAAGCACAGCAAGTTGGCACAGTAGGGGGCACAGGTGGTGCATCAGCCAGTCATCTCGGTCATCTCAGTCAGTCGACCCATGGCACCTGCTGGGTCTGCCCCGTGACCTCCTGCCAGCGGGCGTTCGACACTTCACGTGGCCTCAAGGTGCACGTGGCCTGGCACAAGCGTCGTGGTGACGTCACCGCCACTTAGTGGCGAATGGCGGTTGCTGTTGTTGTAATGTGTGTGTCTGTGTGTAATGTATACACACACACACACACGCTCACCTCTCCCCCACTCCCCTCCTCCCAGGCCGAAGGACTTTGTCACCACCATGGCCACCGCGGCCCTCCTGTCTGACGCTCCACGCCCTGCCCCTGCTGCTGCTGCTGCTGCTGCCCCTGCTGCTGCTGCTGCCCCTGCTGCCGCCGCACCACCGCTTGGCTCCCTGCTGCGCCGCTGGTGGTCCGGCTTCGTGGGCGCTCTCAGAGGCTGCTTCTTCACCACCAGCACCGCCACCGCCGCCACTGCCAACACCGCCGGAGGGGGGCGGCAGAGAGAGAGAGGAGGCTTCTCGGTGGGGGAGGGTGGGGGAGGTGGCGGTGTTGGTGGTGGCGTTGGTGGTGTTGGCGGTGGTGGTGGCGGCGTTGGTGGTGGCGATGGTGGTGGTGGTGGTGGCGGTGGTGGCGGTGTTGGCGGTGGCGGTGTTGGCGGTGGTGGTGTTGGCGGTGGTGGTTGTGGTGTTGGCGGTGGTGGCGGTGGTGGTGGTGTTGTTGGCGGTGGTGGTGTTGTTGGCGGTGGTGGCGGTGGTGGCGGTGCTGGTGTTGGCGGTGGTGTTGGCGGTGGTGGTGTTGTTGGCGGTGGTGGCGGTGGTGGTTGTGGTGTTGCTGTTGGTGGCGGTGATTGCCAGCAACCTGACAAGTTGGCGGTGGCGGTGGTGTGGGCGGCTGGGAAGCTGCGCTCAATATTCACGCTGCTCGTTGAGTGTGAGGAGGACGACCATGTGAGACCACGGGTGGGGCGCACGGGGGGACAAGGATATGTGTCTGTGTGTGTGTGTAGGTCGACTCAGCCTCAAATGTGTAAACATCGCTGCTAGGGCGACAAAGGGCATGGTGTTGGCCACCGACCCCCTCGTGTGCCGTGCCGGCCTTTACAGGTGCTACTCGCTCACAGCACTTGCTCCTACAGTCTGTTAAGGCTACACGGGGGATTTTTGTCTGTGAGGCAGTCGCCCTCCAACAACAACGGAGGGCGGAGGAGCGATGCTCACAACAACGAGCGGAGCGCTGGGTGGCTAAAGCACGGCAAGTTGGCACAGTAGGGGGCACAGGTGGTGCATTACCCAGTCATCTCGGTCATCTCAGTTGACCCGTGGCACCTGGGTTTGCCCCTTGACCTCCTGCCAGTGGGCGTTTGACACTTCACGTGGCCTCAAGGTGCACATGGTCTGGCGAATGGCGGTTTGTGCATCTCCTCACCTCCCCGTGCCCCTACAGGTGCTTGCGTCTGCATGCGAGATGTTGCAAGTCCTCAGCTCCAGCCATGCTGGCGCATTGGCATTTAGCAACAATGGAAGCCTCGCGGCCTTAGCCAGCCTGCTGGGACGCACTCACAACCCTCACACCCTGGAGAAGATCACCGGTAGCAACCCACCCACACTCACCACCCACACTCACCACCACACTCACCACCACCCACACTCACCACCCACACTCACCACCACCCACACTCACCACCACCCACCCTCACCACCCACACTCACCACCCACGCTCACCACCCACGCTCACCACCCACGCTCACCACCCACGCTCACCACCCACGCTCACCACCCACGCTCACCACCCACGCTCACCACCCACGCTCACCACCCACGCTCACCACCCACGCTCACCACCCACGCTCACCACCCACGCTCACCACCCACGCTCACCACTCACGCTCACCACCCACGCTCACCACCCACGCTCACCACCCACGCTCACCACCCACGCTCACCACCCACGCTCGCCACCCACGCTCGCCACCCACGCTCGCCACCCACGCTCGCCACCCACGCTCGCCACCCACGCTCGCCACCCACGCTCGCCACCCACCCTCGCCACCCACGCTCGCCACCCACGCTCGCCACCCACGCTCACCACCCACGCTCACCACCCACACTCACCACCCACACTCGCCACCCACCCTCGCCACCCACACTCACCACACTCACCACCCACGCTCACCACCCACGCTCACCACCCCTACCCCAGGCACGCTGTGGAACCTGTCGCGCCACGAGTTTCTGAGGGCTGCGCTGGTGGAGCTTTGCCTCCCGGCGCTGGTGGAGCACGTGCTGGTGCCAGAGAGCGGCTGGAGGAGCAACTTTGGAGACTCGCCCGCCTCACCCTCCCCACCCGGCTCGTCCGCCTCGCCTTCCGCGGCGTTCTGCAACGCCTTGACGTGCCTACGGTAAGGGGCGGTGATTTCGTGGTGGACGCGACGGGGAACGCCGCGGTTGACGCGACGTCACGCGGTGGACGCGACGGGGAACGTCGGGGGTTCACGTCACGGCGGTGACATTGCAGGGAGTTGAGCTCGGCAGATCCGGACGGACGGCTCAGCACGTGGAAGGGCGAGGGGATGGTGGACTGCGTGCTGCGCTTCGTCCGCTCGGCACTGAGAGGACGCAACATCGAGACCAAGGTGACCCCCACACCGCGATGGGTAGCGGTGGTGTAGCGGTTAGCGCTACGCTGCTCTATGAACCCGGCGGCGGGTCCAAGTGTGTCGAGTCCAACTCGGTCGCAGACGTTGTCTTGGGAGCAACACTCTTCAGCGACACAACACAAGTTACACTTGGGTGTTGACCGCATGACTAGAGACTTCTTCAACCCGATGCGGATCTTCATCGCCAGCAACACGAAGAACCCCGAGCCCCTCACTCTTTGGTCTGCATCAGCAGCAGGCCACGCTTTCCCGCCCGATGATGGACACTTGCGTGGCGCCCGAAACGTCGTGATTTAATTTATTTTTAATTTTATTTTATTTTTCACCTACGTGACTTTACCGAAAACACCAAAGAGTATGAATCATCGCAGTCGCGAAAACTTCAGATCTACAACCCCTCGCCCCGCCCACCTTCTAGATCTTTCCGGCTCTTTCCCGAAGGCTCCCCGAAGGCTCTCGTAGACCACGTGACCGCCCAGCGGCCCCCCGTCCACCGGTGGCCCCCCTCCAATATCATCCGGTGACGTGTCGGCAGGTCAACCGGCGTATCGTGCCCCAACGTAACCCTGGCTGGCTGACGCTCCCTCTCGCTCCCTCGCCGGGAGCCCGCACCGCACGCTGTACACGGTGCCTCCGCGCTGACCAGCGCTCACCCAGCCCCGCTAGGGCTGGTGGTACTACGCCCAGTGAGCGGGCTGCACGTAATGCCAACACATCATCCGCCGTAGCTTCGTAAGCCCGGCACCACACAGTGACAATCACAGTCACTACACAAGCAAGAACATCTGCTGGACTACATTGTGACGGACCAGTGGATACGGGCCCATGTCCTTGACACCAGGAGCTGATTTGCCCACTGACCATTGACTTGTCATCTGCAAGATGCGCCTGCCATTCTTCCACTCCGGTGGGGGGTGTACACCCAGGACCCCATTCAAACCCATCGTGGCCTGGTCTCAGCTAGCTGATTAAAGTTTCAAGCAAGAATTTCATCATCGCTTGCGGCTAGGGTTGGCATCGTCCCCCACTCCTCATGTCGAGGGGAAATGGGCGAGGTTTAGGACTGTGGCTCATGCAGCTGCAATGGCTACTTTGGGTACACGGTCCATACCTCCTCAGAGACCCTGGCTGACAAAAGAGGTGTTCAGGCTGGCTGAAAAAAAGCGACAGGCCCTCTCTCATCGTCTACAGCATCCCACGTCAGAGAATGAGGAAGCTTACCGCAGCCTTCGCTCGGAGGTTCGGAGAGCCGTGAGGTGCTGCAAGGATGGGTGGTGGTCGTGGGTTGCTGAGGAGATGGAGTCTGCCTCAATGGCCTGCGATCACAAATCGCTGTTTATTTCCATAAAAAAGTAACCTACAGCGCCACACCTATTACCATCATTAGGGAAAAGATTGGTGATCCAATCTCCGACCCTCAGGAACAGGTTTGCAGATTTGCTGAGCATTTCTGTGAGGTCCTGGGGGAGGGGAAATACCCCAGCCTGGAAATATCGTGGGACAAAGTGGGGATGACCCTGCTGAGGCTGTGGTGGCTCAAATATTGGAAGAGGAAGTCACCCCCTGTGAGTGGCTGGCTGAGGTGCCATCAGTTGAGGAAGTACTGAAAGCGTTCCAGAGCCTGAGACCAGGAAATGCACCAGGCAAAGATGCTCTCCCAAGTGTTGTGTGGTTATTCCTGACACCGCTGGAGACTTGTAGATCCACACGGAGACGGAGCTTCATGTAAGGGCTTGCGCCAGTTGTTTTATTAAACACTCTTCACACCACTCTGCTTACACTCTGAGTACTGCTGCACAATCACTGCCTACGCTGCACACCTGACGCCTTCGCCCGTCATGGTGCAGGCGTCGGACCTCTGGCTGCACGTAGAACTGTCTCCCATTACTCCATGCCCCGCCACGGCTCCCCCTCGTCTGCCCCGGGCGGGGGCACGCCGCCATCACCGCCCGGCGACGAGGTTTGGGCTTCTAACCCTCGAGCCTTCCTCCTTCGGCGGCGGCGGTGGCTGCTGCTGGGGATTCCTAGCACACCCGTAGGTTACCCTAGCCTGGTGCTAAAAATAGTGTAGTGTATAGTAGTGTGGTGTATAGTGTAGTGTATAGTGTAGTGTATATTGTATAGTAGCGTAGTGTATAGTAGCACCACCAGCACCACCACCACCTCCCTCCTTCACCACCAGCACCACCAGCACCACCACCACGGGGAGTGTCGGCGAATCTCCAGGCGGGCTACATCAGTCCGGCCGTCATGTCCACGTAGTCCTAGCGCACACAGACAAGCAGACCCCCCATTGTGTGGCCTCAAACAGGCTGTCGGAGCAAGTGATGTTCGTGGGTAGAGGTGGGGAGAGATGGGGGAGAGGTGGGGGAGAGATGGGGGAAAGATGGGGGAGAGATGACAAAGACCAAGATCCCCGTGTAGCCTGAACAGACTGTAGGGGCAAGTGCTGTTAGCGAGTAGCAGCACCTATGAAGGCTACCGGCGCTGTGGCACACGAGGGGGTGGGTGGCCAGCACCACGCCCGGCCGCCTTTGTCTCCCCGGCGGCGATGTTTACTACACATACCACGCCAGGTACTCGATTGAGGCTGAGTCGACCTAGTGGAGACCCGGGACCAGAACAGATCATCGCTATCACTGGTGTGAAGAAGATCAACGTTTAGTCCTTTTAAAATAAACATCTCATCATGGCCAAAGCCACCGCCGCCACCACCACCACCACCGCCACCACCGCCACCACCACCGCCGCCACCACTGCCGCCACCACCACCGCCACCACCGCCACCACCGCCACCACTTCTCTTCCCTCTACGGCATCCTACGAGCGTGGTGGCAAGCGCGAGGTCGCAGGTTCGACCCGTACGGCCTGACGACCCCCACGTCTCCATCTCTCTCTCTGCCCCGTGGCCCGTGTCGTCCCCCCTCCCGGACGGGGCAGCGGTCACCTCGTCACGGCGGCCCCCGTTGGCCACGAGGATCCGCCCCAAGTCGTCCGCCAGCCGCGCGAACGTCGGTCTGTCGCTGGGGACGGTCGCCCAGCACTCGCTCATCGTCGCGTGTCTGCGCACGGCAACACGCGAGTCAAGTTCAACACGCGCCGTGCGTGTACACCGTGCGCACGGCGTACACGCAATGTGCACAGACATGCAGCTACTACATTTACAATCATAGAGTAGTGTATAGTGTAGTGTATAGTGTAGTGTATAGTGTAGTGTATAGTGTAGTGTATAGTGTAGTGGATAGAGTAAACCCACTACTGTATTTACAATTATAGAGTAGTGTATAGTGTAGTGTATAGAGTAGTGTATAGTGTAGTGTGTAATGTAGTGGATAGAGTAAACCCGCTACTGTATTTACAAGTATAGTGTAGTGTATAGTGTAGTGTACAGAGTAAACCCACTACTGTATTTACAATTATAGTGTAGTGTATAGTGTAGTGTACAGAGTAAACCCACTACTGTATTTACAAGTATAGTGTAGTGTATAGTGTAGTGTATAGTGTAGTATATAGTGTAGTGTATAGTGTAGTGTATAGTGTAGTGTATAATGTAGTGTATAGAGTAAACCCACTACTGTATTTACAATTATAGTGTAGTGTATAGTGTAGTGTATAGTGTAGTGTATAGAGTAATAATAACAACATCAACGAACGACGCTCCTGTAGGTAACATGACGTCATCGTCGTAGTCGTCGTTGCGATCTCCGATTCCTACTCACAGCTCGTCGGAGCAGAGGGCAGGCCGCTCCATGCGGTAGCCATCACCGAGCAGCTTGAAAAGCTTTTCCACGGGGACGCCCGGGTACGGAGAGCCCCCCAGGGTGAAGATCTCCCACAGCAGCACCCCGTAGGACCACCTGCACACACATACGCACAAACACACGCACACATGCAAATGCATGCACAACCACACACACACACACGCATACACATGCATGCTCACGCACGTACACAACAACAACAACCGCCATTCGCCACTAAATGGTAGTGACATCACCACGGCGCTTGTGCCAGGCCATGTGCACCTTGAGGCCACGTGAATTGTCGAACGCCCGCTGGCAGGAGGTCACGGGGCAGACCCAGCAGGTGCCACGGGTCGACTGACTGAGATGACCGAGATGACTGGCTGATGCACCACCTGTGCCCCCGACTGCCAACTTGCTGTGCTTTAGACACCCGGCGCTCCGCTCGTTGTTATGAGCGTCGCTCCTCCGCTCTCCGTTGTTGTTGGAGGGCGACTGCCTCCAACTGCCCAGTAGCGTCCTTCACGAGCCTCCTCCACTGAGGCCGATCTTGACACCGCTGGTACCAGTCATCAGCAAGTCCACTCAGCTGCACGTCCTCCTGTACCACATCACTCCATCTCTTCTCTAGCCCGTGCCCGCGTCCGTTTAGCCCCCTCAATTCGGCCGAACAAAAGCTGTTTAGGCAAGCGTAGAGAAGGGAGGGAATGACTGTGGCCGAGAAGGCCTGAAGCTTCGTGCGGAGCCGGTCATAAGCACACTGCCCAGGTATGGGAAACTCTCCACTCTCTGCACAACTGCCCTATCACCAATTGGGAGTTGTGGGGGTGGAGTGTCCAATGGTACAAAATACCCAGGCAGGTGCTGATGGTAAGGCTCCACCTCTTAGTGGCACACTCCAGTTTCAGCAGAAGCATCTCTAACTTCTCCTTTGAATGAGCAGCAATTACCAATCATCGGCATACGTAACAGGTTGAGCAATAGGGAGCCATCCCTTGACCAAACCCGGGCATCGAATAGCCTCCCATTGCATCTGTACCACATGGAAATTCAGCTACTGAAGGTTTCACGAACTACGTGGTTGAAATAGATGTACATAATGTGGGAGCCAGAGGACATCCCTGTCGCACCCTAAAGTAAACAGCGAATGTCTCCGACTCCCGGCCACGTAGTTTTACCCGGGCCCGCTCACCATCATGAAGGTCCTTAATGATCGCGAGCAGAGGGTCAGGTACTCCGAAAGCACGAAGAACAACCAGAGCCCATGCCTACTGATAGTATCATAGACCTGACCGGGTCAATAAGCAGAGATGTAGGTCTTGTTGGAATTCCATCCACCTCTGCTGTAGCAGACAGACAGAAATATGGCATCTGTGCAGGACCGGCCTTTCCTGAAACCACATTGGGCTCCTCAAGCCTCTCCTCAGCGTGCCTAGCAAGGCGATGTGAATAATCCTTGCCAGGACCTTTCCCGGCACACTGAGGAGTGAGATGCCCCTGTAGTTGTTACAGTCTGTGCGGTCCCCCTTCTTAAAGAGTGGGACCACCAGGCATCCTTCCAATCCTGCGGAACCCATCCATTGGTCCAGACTGTCGTTATGATGTCATGTAGGGCAGTCTGTGCACAAACGCCACTCTCCCTCAGCATGTCGCTTGGGAGATGATTTTTGCCCGGTGCCTTTCCTGGTCCCTGACTCTGGATCACCTTCAGTACTTCCTTAACAGATGGCACCTCAGCAGCAACTCACAGGGGGGGACTTCTTCCTCCAATATGTGAGGCACCGCAGCCTCAGCAGGGTTATCCCCACTTTGCCCCATGATGTTTTCCAGGCTGAGGAATTTCCTCTCCCCCAGGACCTCAAAGATTCTCAGCAAATCTGCAAACCTGTTCCTGGGGCAAATAGTTTGCTGCTTTAGCCCACCGGTGTGTTGAAGCGTGAAACCACAACATTTACAATTTGAGAACGACGTTTCGCTGGTAATTGCATCCAGCATCATCGGGCAATTCGCCAGAATGGTGAGGCTCTGCTGTGTCTCCCGTTCTTATATATTTACTGATTGGCCGTGTCGGGTGGTGGAGGTTACGACACATTTATAAATAACGCGATCCCAACCCAAAAACGTGATTATGAATACTATTGTCGCGAAAGCATACGTGTTAAACTGTTCCTGGGGGTCGGAGATTCCCCTAATGATGGTAATAGGTGTGGTACTGCAGGTGACTTTTTTGATGGAGTTAAATAGTGATTTGTGATCGTGGGCACTGAGGAAGACTCCATCTCCTCAGCAACCCGTGACCACCACCCATTCTTGCAGTGCCTCACGCTCTCCGAACCTCCGAGCGAAGGCTGTGGTAAGCCTCTTCATTCTCTGACGTGGGATGCTGTAGACGATTAGAGTGGGGCTGTCGCTTTTTCTCAACCATCTGAACTCCTCTGTCAGCAGTGTGCCTGCTGACGTCACGCTCCCCCCCCCCCCCCCAAACCCTCCGCGTAGGCCGTTTGTGTTAACCCAAGCAAGAGTCCAAGTCTCAGGCGAAGCCGGGGAGTCAAGCGACTATTTGTATAATTGGCTCAAGATGTGATTTTTGCTGTGTTTTGTGATACTATTATTCTCATTTCTTTCTTATTTTTTTTATTTTCTCTCTATTTTTACTTACGACTGACCTTCATATATGACCAAATACCCATCCCAAACGGCGTTAAAAACACAAAGAACAATTAAAAAAAACTTCTCCCTAGCTGGAGGTGAGTGAGGGACCAAAAAAATGTACGCGGTTTTTCCAGATCGTGGGGGGGCCCGCGCCCTTAACCCCCGAGATGTGGAAGGGTCGACCGTATACAGCGGGTAGCATGGCAGTGTCAGGGTCTGGATGGAACCCACGACCTCCTGCGTACCAGCCGAGGTAGTCACGTGTCACAGCCACTCACACGTCGCTCCGCTGGTGTGTAGACGCGGCTGCAGCAACGCCTCCGGTGCCATCCACTTCACGGCAGGCGTCCCTGGAGGGGCGACAGGTGACGAGGGGAGGTCAACGACGCACAGCCTGACCCTTGACCCACCACCACCACCACCCTTTTATCCACCACCACCCTCTCCCTACTCCCTCTCTTTTCTTTTTTTACGATCAGAGGAAACAAGGAAGAGCTCGGTGTAGTCGGCACTTTGCTTCGTTCATCATTCGTAATTTTTTCCAATGTTTTGCTTTATGTGCACCCCCCCTCTTCTTTTTTTTCAAATGAAAGATTCATGAAAGATTCTCTCTCTCCCCC